CGCACCAGAATCCTGAATACTTGTCTGACTTGGGATAATGAGATAGGATTAGAATTCTAAGAGAGTTGAGATAAATATCACCATCTTGTCTCTCCCTTGTCCTGTGCCTCAAAATGTTTATCAGGCCTAGTTTGTTTCAACCTCTGCCTCTATCAGGTCAGCTATGATTCCCTGATTCCCTGGTCCCCTGATTGCCTTAGAAGAAGGGTCAGCAGACTTTTTCTGTAAAGGGCCACATGATAAATACGTGAGGTTTTGTAGGCTATATGATCTCTATTGCAACTACTCAGCTCTGCCATTGCAGCACAAAAGCAGCCCATTGACAATACAAAAATGAATGCGCATCTCTGTGTTCCAATAAAACTTTATTTAGAAAAACTAATAGTGAACCAGATTTGGCCTCAGGCCATAGTTTGCCAACCTCTGTCATAGAAACATTTAAGAAATAAAAATGAACTTAAATCTTAAGTCTGCTAAGTTTTGTGTCCTTGTTCTTTTGGAGCCCCATTGTCATTATGCAGAAATGGTTATGGGTGTACTGTCTTAGGGTGCCTCCTCTCTCATTAACCCACATGATTATCAGAGCTGGAAAAAAATCTAAAAACCACAGTAGCAGGTTTCTAGATATGTAGGTGTATTTGTAACAGGAGACTTAACTATTATTAAATTAAACGTTACTAGAGTACACAAGTACAAAATATTAGATTTATTCTCATTCTAGTATCATGGAAAAATAAATTTAATTCATCTTCCTAGTCATAGAGGGAATTAGTGCTTGAATTTGCTTGATAATTAAGTTGCTTTTGCTCTAAAGTTTATTTTATGAGTCAATCATGTTGCTTTCTCCACTTCCTAGAAAACCAGTTTAAATAGTGTTTGTTTGTTTTTTAACAATGTTAAAATAGTCTGTCTCTTTTACTGTGACAACCATGTGGTGTATGGCAAGTTTTAAAGAGATAACTTCTGTACCTAACATAGAAATTACAAACATATTCTATAGAATTCAACTTTTAACTTATATGAAGCTTATAGGCATGAGGGTGGGAGGATCTATCACTCTAGCCCAGGCAGCAGAACTTCCTTCAGTGTGTTTATGGGACCAGTAATTTACTGTTCATCATCTTCCATGTTATTAGTCCTTAGCCCATGGATGGCTTCTCTAGCACAAGTTGTATTAAAGCTATGACTTGAGGGTGGAGAAAGGAAGGTATGGCTACAGATAGTCCAAATGATGATAATAAGTATCACCTTCAAATAACGTTATTTAATCCTCACCATTATCCTCTGAGAAAACACAAGTTCAAGATTACACAACCTACAAATGGTACATCTGAGACAAAAATACAGATGTTCAATCCAGGTGTCAAACTTCTTCCTATTTGCAAAGGTATTCGGTGCTCAGTCACAGGCGAGGCTGTCAGCCCATCAAGTAGTTCTGCATATTCTGTTGTACATATTTAATTTATTAATCTAACTTAAGCTTTTTTAAAAGGCCTATTTCATGCTGCACGTTTTATTGTAAACACTTCTAAAATATACAGTTGTGGAAGAATAAATGATGTAAAGATTGATTTTTATTTTTATTAATATTCATTTATAGTTAACATCAATAATTCATGTTGAGTAATATATCCCCCTGTTATGAAATGTACCAAAGTCAGTATAGAACTCTTTGTCAATTTATAATTGTGTTTGTAGCAGTTGCACAGGAATAGTATTCAGTTTACTGATGGATATGAAGTGAAAGAAGATATTGGAGTTGGCTCCTACTCTGTTTGCAAGAGATGTATACATAAAGCCACAAACATGGAGTTTGCAGTAAAGGTTAGTATTTTTAGATTTAAAATGCAACGTTAATAGTTTTTATTCATGCATGTCAGTACCAGTAAACATGTTCTTCTTCTTTGGTAAATGTGCCTTTTGTTATAAAAAGATAAAGTTACTTCAAATATCTGGCTAGTGATTACCAGGGAACCATCCATTACAGTGGATTCCCCTGTGAGCTAAAAAGGTAAGGTAGCGTACATCCAGTTTGCTTGGGGCAGTATCAGTTTACATTGACCTGATTTTTTTGTAGCACCCCTTTTGCTTTCAGAAGCCTCCCATTTTATAGTCAAGGTGTCAGGGAATTCTTCAAGATTTTATACCAAATGTATGTTTACATTTTTCTAGCAACAGTGTTCATACCATTCTTCACATTTAAAAGGATATGTGAACCAATATATATAAAAGGCTAATATGCAAGTGTCCCCTCGGGAGTTTGACCAAAAAACTGGGAGTTCAATCACTCGCTATGATATTCACTGACCGCCAGGGGGCAGCATGGAACGAGGGAAAGCCCTGGTCAGCAGCAGGCAGCCAGAAAGCCCTGATTGGCCCTGATAGCCGGCCAGGCCTATGGAGCCTACCCGTGCACGAATTTCATGCACCAGGCCTCTAGTAAAAGAATAACCACTAACATTAAATTTATTATTAGCTATTTTAACTTCTTCAAGTGTTCTAAGGCAGCAAGATTTTTCCAAGTCAAAACCAGGACACATGGCTCTATGATAAAGTTTGAGTTGCAAACCTTTAGTTGAAAGTGAACAAATATCAATCAAGTCTCTGCCTTTTCACTTATTGGAATGGTAGCCTTTGCTCTCCCATTGCAAGCAATTCAAGTAATGTCTAAAGCTTTCGACTTACCTGCAAGTTTAGAAATAGTCTTTAAGAATGGGCAGCTCCTGTTTAGTCAGTGGAAGAGTGACATTAATTGGGATTATTTCCATCCACCCATCTATTTATCTAAATATATAGTACTAGATGCCTGGTCCATGACATTCGTTCACTGGAGGTGTGTGTATGGGGGGGGGGGGGGGGAGTCCCTCAGCCCAGCCTACACCCCTCTCACAGTCAGGGACCCTTTGGGGGATGTCCGCCTGCCACAGAGGTGGGAGAGGCTCCCACCACCGCCTCTGAGCTTGTCAGCAGTGAGCAAGGTGCAAGACTTCTGGCTGAGAGGAGCTCCCCCTGTGGGACCGCACTGACCATGAGGGGGCAGCTCCTACGTTGAGCATCTGCTCCCTGGTGGTCAGTTTGCATCATTGCAACTGGTTGTTCTGCCATTCAGTCAATTTGTATATTAACCTTTTATTATATAGGATGATTTCATATGTAAAAATGAAAATGAATGTTTTATGTCACTAGAGGCCCAATGCATTAAATTTATGCAAGGGATTCGGCCCCTGCCACTGCATCGGCAGCCTCAGCCCTCAGCCACCAGGGCCTCTGCCACCTCTGCCTTGCCTCAGACCCTGCCCACCCGCCTCAGCTTCGTCCGGAAGGACATCTGGAAGGACAATCAGTCTAATTAGCATATTACACTTTTATTGTTATAAACTAGTGGCCCAGTGTATGAAATTCGTGCACGGGGAAGGGGGAATGTCACTCAGCCTGGCCTGCACCCTCTCCAACCTGGAATTCCTCAGGGGATGTCCTACTGTCTTGCCCCAACTGTTCCCCCTTGCCAGCCTTATCCCTGTAGGATTGGGCCTAAACTGGCAGTCGGGACATTCCTCTTGCAATCTGGGTCTGCTGGCTTCTAACTGCTCACCTGCCTGCCTGTTTTATTGCCACTAACCACGCTACCTTCTGGCCTGCGTGTCCTCCAACTGCCCCACCGCTGGCCTTCTCACCCCCAACCCCCCCCCCCCCCGCCATCTTCTTGCCCCCCAACTGCCCCCTGCCAGCCTGATCACCCCCAACTGCCCTCCCCTCCTGGCCTGACTACCCCTAACTGCCTCTGCCTCAACCCCGCCACCACGGCTTTGTCCAGAAGGATATCCAAAAAAGCCTCCCAGCCTAATTAAAATATTACCCTTTTATTAGTATAGATAGAGGCCTGGTGCACAGGTGGAGGCCGGCTGGTCTGTCCTGAAGGGAGTCCCGGATCAAGATGGGGGTCCCCTTGGTGGATGGGGCCAGCCTGGGCGAGGGGCTGAGGGCCATTTGCAGGCTGGCCATGCCCCCATCAGGTTGAGGGTCCCCTCTGGGGGGGCGTGGCCAGCCTGGGTGATGGGCTGAAGTCCTTTTGGGGGTGGTTTGCAGGCCAGCCAAGCCCCCTGCTTTGTCCAGAAGGTCTCCAGAAGGTCTCCCAGTCTAATTAGCAAATTCCTCTTTTATTAGTATAGATAGCAATTATCTGAGAAGACATATACACACAAAAATTACTTACTATTCTAAACTTATATCTAATTGCTTTTAAAAAAAACATCATTGTATATAAGGCTTTTTGTCAGCTATAAAGATAAACCAGAAATTCATTTTAATTTGCTTGTATACTCATTGCTCACAATGAAATTTGGGGCACATAGAAATTTTCAAATTACTTACATGAAAGAAGATACAGTGAATAATGTACTTTGTAGACAGTTTAAGAATGTACCTTGCCTCCATAAACACATCAGAAAAAAGCAAAAATGTCCTGATGTCCCCTTTGAGTTACAGAAACTAGTAGCTGTATACCAAAACCTTGAGATTATCTTGAAACTATCTGTGGATTATTGTAGCTTAAATTAGAATCATAAAACCAATCCTCGCACAACTTGATTCTAGTGAAATTACTGCAAAGCTAAGATCCACAAGCATAAGTATGGATTTAATGTGAGCTGGGCTCAGATTAGCAGATCAGAATGTTGCCAAAAATAACACTTCCGATGAGATGTGTTTTGGTTCTCAGAAGACTAACCCCAGGACATATCCCTTGAATTAGCATGTCTATTCCATATACTCTTCCTCTTAATCATCCATTTGCCTAATTCCACACTATTATTTACAATCAATTGCAGTGGACACCTATATGTCTGTCTTCCCTGTTTTCCAACCACAGAACCATTTTACAACTAAGTCCATTTCAAATAGCATATTTAGCTCATGTTGAGAGTTGCAAGCTACGTTGCTAGAGCATTTGGGTGTTTATTGCATACATTAATTACTTTGCAGTTTTAAAATGGAAAATAAGTTGGGTGTGAAGAGAGCAGAGCGCTTGAAGAGTGGCTGCTCTGTGTATAACACATCCAACAGCAACTGGGCTTACTCTCTACAGGTGGCAGGATACTGTGGCCTTCCTGTGATATTACACCCTATCCATGAAAAAAAAGAAAGAAAATAAGGTCACAAAATTTATTTCCAACTGCCTTTTGGATGAAATGAAAGCAAACCTTATTTAGCAATATTACTTTACATTAAAACATTAAGAGAAGTATTTTTAAGAAGCAGCCAACATAACAGGGTTGGAAAGCTACATTAGTATTTTAAAGGGCTTTATTATAATAATTAAACTTGATTCTAGCCAAGTAAAATTTCAGGTGTGGTTTTCTGCTTAGCTTTCTGCCCAGCTTCAAAAATAATCTTGCTCTACTGAACCGTTAATTAATTTTTATAAGTAGCTTACAACTAATGGGATATTTCATTGAAGCATTTTATTAAAGGAAGGAAAGTAAATTAGTAAATTGAATACACAGATGCTAGTAGTGCTGATATATATATGTCTCTGTGTCCCCAAAAATTTATGTACACTTTGAATAATTATAAAAGCAGTGTTTGTACTTCAACTTCATTTTTAAACTTCCAGTAGCATTTTGGGATACAATTCCTTTGTTCAAAACTTAGTCTGGCTGAAAAGAAAGAAACATCAATTGAGCTATCAGCTGTTAAAGTGTGTATACATGTTTTGGGGGCACCTTGTACATATTGCTCTTAAGTATCTGTGTTGACAGACTTAGACATTGACTGAGTTTCCCAAAGTTTAAGATGTTTAGGATGAAAGAAAAAGGTTAACTGTGTTCTTGGTACCTTTTCTTGAAGCTTTTGAGTTTTAGTAAGTCCTAACTTACTGCACACTTAAACTGGAGAGACCTGGTGGAAATGTGATTCTGGGCATAGAGTTTACAGCTTTGTCATCTACATCCAAGACTGGGTTTTGAATTTTGATTAGACAATCTGGCCAGATATTTGAGTAAAACTGGTGTGTGTGTGTGTGTGTGTGTGTGTGTGTGTGTGTGTGTGTACGTACGTGTGTACACACACACACACACATAGTGTTTACATATGATGCTACCCATTGTCTGTAGCTATAAATACTTAAGGTTTATAACTGTAGTGTTCATGAGATTTTGTAATTATTATTTGCCTTTTAGATTATTGATAAAAGCAAGAGAGACCCAACAGAGGAAATAGAAATTCTTCTTCGTTATGGACAGCATCCAAACATTATTACTCTAAAGGATGTAAGTAGTTTCTTTAATGTAGAAATTTGAATCAGTTGTCTAACTTGAATCTGAATTATTTACAGAAATCATGTGGTAGATAAATAACTGAATATAGTAAACAAAAACAGATTGCAGCACAACATATATAACATAATTTTAGTTATTAAGAAAAATACATTTATATAGTTAATGTTTCTACTTTTGTGATAAAAAGAAAAGTTTTATTGACATTATTGGTTTTAATATCTGCATTAACTGTAACATTTGAGTATTCATTAATGTTCAAGATTGACTAGTATCACACACTCCATGGATTCCCCAAACTGTCTTTCACAGTACTGCCAGGGAGAACTGCACTCATATCTAACCATGTTACTTTCCTGCCTACAGTTCATACCCTTCATCACCTCTGGTCCCTGCCTACCTCCATCCATAGTAGTTTGCACACTTCCTCACACACTCTATGCTCCAGCCATGCTGCAGCATATCCAAATTTTTGAACATACCTCATTTTCTCGTGCTGCCCTGTCATTGAATTTATGGTTCCCTCAGTTGAAAACACCATCTTCTTCCTTTACTTGGCTTTGCTAAAGCATTACTTCTCCCAGGAAGCCTGCCCTGACCATTACCACCCCCAGGACAAATGAAGCATCCCTTCCCTGCTACCAATGACTTTTTTAATTGATTTCAGAGAGGAAGGGAGAAGGAGAGAAAGATAGAAACATCAATGATGAGCCGAAACTGGTTTGGCTCAGTGGTAGAGCATTGGTCTGCGGACTGAAAGGTCCCAGGTTCGATTCCGGTCAGGGGCATGTACCTTGGTTGTGGGCACATCCCCGGTAGGGGGTGTGCAAGAGGCAGCTGGTCGATGTTTCTCTCTCATCGACGTTTCTAGCTCTCTATCTCTCTCTCCCTTCCTCTCTGTAAAAAATTAATAAAATATATATTTTAAAAAAAAGAAACATCAATGATGAAAGAGAATCATTTTCCAGCTGCCTCTTGCATGCCCCCTACTAGTACTGGAGATCAAGCCCACAACCTGGGCATGTTTCCCTGACCAGAATCGAACCCAGGACCCCTCAGTCTACAGGCTAATGCTCTATCCACTGAGCAAAACCAGCTATGGCCCTATTACCTATGACTTTTATCATAACAGAGCTCGTGACAAAGGATGTGAATTCCCCCAGGCAACATTAAGTCCTCTCTTGCTGATGGTAGTCATATAGGCTCAAAGGCCATATCTGATTGCTGTAGACCAGATGTCATGTGGCCAGCTGAGCCAGAGGACTTCTGAGGAATCTTTCACCTTTCACCTGTGAGATTTTGTGAATTCCAAACTTTACCCTCCCTTCTCCTTTCAAACCAAAATTCCAATTTCCTCGAAATAATTTTTCACTGCTCATTGCTAGAAGGGGAATGTTAACTTAGTTCCATTAAAATGTGAAGCTGTTTGCCCTGGCTGGTGTTTTCAGTGGTTAGAGTGGCAGCCTGCACACCTGGGTTGCATGGACCTGATCAAGGGCAGGTCCCTGGGTTGCAGGTTTGCTCCCTGTCCTCCGGTCAGGGCACATGCTGGAGATAACCAGTCATTGTCTGTCTCTCTCTCTCTCTGTCTCTCTCTCTGTCTCCCTCTCTCTCTGTCTCTCTCTATGTCTATCTCTCTCTCTCTCTCTCTCTCTCTCTCTCTCTCTCTCTCTCTCTCTCTCTCTCTCTCTTTCTCTCTCATTCTGTCCTATTCTCCCTCCCTTCCATTCTCTTTGAAAAGCAATGGAAAAAATATTTTCTGGTAAATAATAACAAAACAAAAAAATTTACCTGGCTGGTGTGGCTCAGTAATTGAGTGTTGACTCATGACCCAGGAGTTCAAGGTTCAGTTTCCAGTCAGGGCACATGCCTGAGTTTTGGGCTCAATCTCCATTGGGGGCATGCAGGAGGCAGCCAACCAATGATTCTCATCTTTGGTGTTTCTATCTCTCCTATCCCTTCTTCTCTCTGAAATCAATTTAAAAAAAAAAAAGTATAGGTAGGTAGGTAGGTAGATAGATAGATGATAAATAACATGTGAAGCTGTTTAACCTAAGTGACTTTTTAATTACTGTAACCTCTAATCCAACCAAGTAAATTAAAAAGGAAGTATAAAAGATACTTTCACTCATCTTTGCTTTGGAAACTCCCTAAGCTGTCATTTTTTTTTTTTTAATCTTCACCCCCAAGGATATGTTTTTTTATTGATTTGGTTTTTTTAGAGAGAGAGGAGGTACAGAAAGGAAGATCAGTGTGAGAGAGAAACATCTATCAGTTGCTACCCATATGAGCCCAGAACAGGGATGGAACCTGCGACCTAAATATGTGCCCTGACCAGGATACAAACCCACAACCTTTTGACATGCAGGATGGTGCTCCAACTGAGCCACCCAGCCAAGATGTTGTCATTACTTTTACATCTTTGCTCCTTCCCTCATTTCAAATTCCAAAATCTCTAAAATGTCCCCTCTTTTATTACAGCATCTCCAACATTTTTAAAATTCTTATATCTATATCTATTTCTCCCTCCTCGAATAAAAACTTTGAAGGCAGGTACTTTGTTTTATTTTTCCATATTTAGGGCCCCAGTACCTGGTACCTCTTTTGAGGCTAAATAAAGGTATGCAGTAACTCTGTGGTGAAGGGGAAATAAAAGGGGCTGAAGTTTAATAAAGAGGTTATTTCAATTCAGGATTGCTTGGAATATAAATCCAAAATTATAGAGAGCATTCAGTTTCTACATCAGGAGTAAAATTGTGTGCTTCTGGGTAGTTGGCTGGAATTTCTCTTTGCTATGCAATCTTCCTACTAAATTTTCAATTTAACCCAAACCAGAATAATTCATTATAGTGTGTATATAAATATAGAATGCGTGCACTTGCAGAAGTTCCAGGAAAATCATGGGAGTATGTCTTTGTAGCAATCCCTGCCCTCACCAGGAGATAGAAAGATCAAGAGGAACAAACCCTATGTGCAAAAATTCAGTGCCCCTTTGTATACAATGTCCATAGTTACTTTTATTTCCATGAATTAAGTTTCATAGAAGGAAATTACAAGTTATTTTTCTGACATTCAATCTCATCAGTTCCTATTTTAATAGTTTACTTGTATAAAACTGTACAAAATTTTATATCTTCCATTGGTTGTGATAAGTAAAAATTTGCTTGAACATAAGGTAAGTTATAATTTTTCTTTAATATGCAAAACTTTGTTCTGAGCACATGTAAAGCTTCAAATAATTTTTTTTACATTTTGGTGTTGAATTTTATAGGTATATGATGATGGAAAATACGTGTATGTAGTGACAGAACTTATGAAAGGGGGTGAATTGCTGGATAAAATTCTTAGACAGAAATTTTTCTCTGAACGAGAGGCCAGCGCTGTCCTGTTTACTATAACCAAAACTGTGGAATATCTTCATGCTCAAGGGGTAAGTCTTTTTAACATCTTAAGTGCATAAATATTATATATATACATATGTGTGTGTGTGTGTGTGTGTGTGTGTGTGTATACACATATAAGTACACACACATTAATATCTTTTTCCTTTATGTTTGAGCTAAAATTACAAAAGTAGAAGTTACTTTATCCATGTAATGGAAAATAACGACTATTAACTTAATTATTCTACTATTTTCCCCATTAAGCTTGAAGTGATACTTTGAAATTCTAGCTTGTTTATATTAAATTCTTATACATCCAAATAAAATGTGGCCGGGACCGGTTTGGCTCAGTGGATAGAGCGTCGGCCTGCGGACGGAAAGGTCCCGGGTTCGATTCCAGGCATGTGGATAAGATCTTCTAAACTAGAAGATATAGCATCATTTTGCTAGACCACTCTGTATTCTTGAGAACT